GCGAGCAGAATTTTCCATCTGGCGACCAAAAATTTCGGTTTGTGTTTCGCTGCGAAGGAAAAATTTTATTGACACTTTTTGGCGACCACATTTTTCCATGTGGCGACTGAAAAAAAAATTTCAGTCGCCAGTTGGCGCCTTCCTAAAAAAGTTAATTTCGGACCCTGACTGTTGCTAAGTAACATTACGTACCCTAGCGATGGTTCATTTATCTAGTGCACCTATCGACCCATGAGAATGTGTGTTATTAAGCTGGTTTGAAATTAATGCCGCTACGTCGAAAAAAAAAAAAAAAAGGCGCTTAGCAGTGGTTTCATTAACTGAGGTTTTCAGGAGCTAGGCAAACTTTTCGTCTTTTCAACTTCTTTTGAACTTCGTTAAAAGAGAGAACTTTCCACGAGATGGTCAAACCCTAAGGTTGTCACAGGCGGTCAATTTGTCCTGTTCCCGTCCCTTAGTCACCCTTCCCTCCCCCCCTCCCCCCCTCCCCGTTCCCAACGTTTATTTGGGGTCTGGCGTTTAATGGAAAGTATATACGATATTTGTCAAACCTGCTCTTGTTCCTCCCTATTTTAATATTTCTATCTGTTTCTTTGTATACCGTTTCTACTATCACTGACGGATGTGTGGCGTTTCTTTTAGTACTTCAGTCACTGTCATGTTCTTTCGTGGTGTATTGTTGTCTAACCTCTGTCTGTTCTCATTCATTCTCACTTCTTCCTCACTAATAACTGTTTAGTGGTTGATAAGAAGGCCTGATGAGGAAGGATTGTCCGCATCTCTCATTAAACACTGGAGTAGTATGAAGGATTACATCAAAGATGTTAGTGTCCCGCCAATCTTCTTTTTTGTAAATTTTTCGTGTAGTTTAAAAAGTACCGCCTATTAGCCTTTGAACGATATGCCCCCTGGTTTCGTTTTGGTTCATTCTAATTTATCTGATATTTGTTCACGTGGCACAACTTATTCATGTTACTGTTTCTTCTTTCTTTGGTCGCGTTCTGTTGTGTTCTCTCTGATCACTTTTGGTTT